TCCTTGGCCCAAAATTTTCAGCTCAATTTTTAATGCTTTATATACCATTTTGTAGCTCGTGAAATTCTCTATCGAACGGTGTATAATAGTTGGGGTTTCATTTGACTATGATAGGAAAAGTGTTTTACGAATGTGGAGATAAGTCGATTTTTCTATAGGAAGCCATAGGGAAAAATGAGTATTTTTGCAATAACTCAGGAACGGCTCGGCCAATCCTTCTCATCTTCGAACTCGACCGAGATATTGTTGAGACTAAACTGTGTAGAAAATTTCATCGCGATCTGACTCTCCTTTCGAAAGTTATCGTGTATACGGACGGACGGCCGGACACACAGACCGATTTTAGTAGTGTACTCACTTTTTGAGTACACAAAAAATGAACTTGATCAAGGACATAAACATGCTAAATTGTCTATGGATTTTAAAAAACGTTTTAATGATGGAGGTGATAAAGAATTGAACGTTGAACAATTAGAAAAATTAGTTTCATTTGAAGCACTTCGAGCATTTGAACATTATCGAGCTGCATTGAAATTTCTTGGAAAAATGAATCAAAATGAAGCTGATATAATACAACGTGCTCGAAATTCTTGAATGGATGGCTCTAATGATGCGTCAATCAGGAAATCATAATGTTGAAGCTCAATGATACAATTAGTATTGAAATTCGTGTAGATCAACTTATTGAACCTTTACTCGAACATGGTTTTCGAGCAGATAAAGTTGCACATCTTCTTATTTTAATTGACGAAGTTCCACTTCGTGGTCTTGATTTTAGTGATTCGAATCGAAAAAATCCTGAACATTCAGCATTATTAGAGCAAATTAAAATTCTTTTTCAAGGAGTCTACGATAGTCCAAAGTTACTTGAAGCTGCTAAAAAATTAGACGATCATGTTGAAGATTATCATCATAATAGAATTAATAAACTTGCCAATCAAATCCTCAATCCAATTTCGAAGCAAGATATTAAAGATTCACGAGAAACTCTATTTTCCAAACGACTAGCAGCTTATCAAAGACTTGCTCGACTCAATTATGCTATTGCGTGTTTATTGGCTGGTGGTAAGTTGATTCTAAGAAAATTTGTTTTTAATCTAAATTCTTTTTTCAAAGTTCGCTAGATTCTACATTGTATCCAACTCTCTAAGAGAAACCTCTGACATAGTGTAACTCACGATAAGAATAGTGAATAAAAATTTCAATATGAGCACATAGCTTTTCTTACAGCTAGCTTTCTTCCAATAATTTTCTCAGAAGAAAAGAGCTTGTTCCTATTGTCTATTAGAACAAAATCAAAAATACAAAGTTCATTCTAAAATGGTTTGTGGAATATAAATGGCGATATAATATAGTGGACGAACCGTTAAAGAGAAATTAATTCTTTCAACGTATCTAACATCTTTCAGAATGATAATAATGAACTTTGTTTAGTACTATA